TAAATCAATAAATATATAATAACTACTACTATTACATTGACAAATTTTGTCAATTTTTCCGTATGAGTTCGTCCTCCCTGTCTAGTCTCCCTTAACACGTTGACTGCCCACTACGATATAACTCGTAACTGGCAGTCTGCTGCTGGACGCCCAATACGGGATAACTCGTACTTGGCCGGCCGATCTTTAATGCCAACTACGACTATTCTCGTTGGAAATACGTGTGAACTACATGTATTGGGCGTCTGTGGCAAGTCCATTAAGAGCCTTGCTGGCGACGGGAAATGAAACAAGTTGGAAATAAAATAGTTTATTCAGAAAATAAAACAGCATCCACATTTTCAACTAAAGCATGCTACAAGGTATATAAAAAATTTTAGATATGATATTTTTTGAAGCATTCTTCTACACATAAGGCAGGCTTTACTTCACAAACCGGACAAAAATACCTCGTTTCTCGTCGGCGTTTTTCAGCAGTACAAACACGGCAAGGTTTTGTTGGTCGTAACTTTTTTTCAGTCGGTTGTATAGTTTCCAGATAATGAAAATTTACAGAATCTGTGGATTTGTTGTTTGCTTTGGGCATTATATTTCCAATTAATGCGGCTATAAATTGTTCTCTGAATTTCAGTGACCTTATTTGTGATTTGGTTGCTTTTTTGTATAATAAATGAGCATTGTGGATATACATCTCAGTTATATGTAGAAATATTTTCTTAGGCCATCTAATTGTTTTTCGTAAAGCGGAATAATACGATAACATCTGATCGGATCTGTCAACGCCGGACATTCCATTATTGTAGTCCTTGATAATGTTCGGTTTTATCGATATTTTTCCATTTCTATTTTGAACCTCAACAGACTGTACTTTGTGCATGTTGGATATTGTAACAACTTCCCTTTTGTCTTTCCACTTGCACAGAACAACTGATTCATGTCTACACCATGTAACTTCACCTTTTTTCAATTTTTTTGTTATGAAATCTTTCGGGAGACCTTTTCTGTTGGATCTGAGGGTCCCACAGACGTATGTCTTCCTAGCAGTGAGTGCCTTCGTTAGCGGGACAGAATTGTAAAAATTATCTGTAAAAAGCATGTGACCTTTATCCAAGTAGTCTTCCATCAACTCAAAGACTACATCTGATGCATGGCCCATTTCAGTAGATGTTTCTGACTTGCCGCAATATATTTTAATTCTCAGCACCATCCCATTTGACTCACACAGCTCGTAAAATTTGACACCATATTTGTGCTTTTTATTTTTGATGTACTGTCGGAAGAACAGTCGTCCACGCCAAAGTACCATGGATTCGTCTATACACAAACTTTTGTCTGGAACATATTTCTCACGCATTGTTTTATTGAAGTGATTCAACACTGGCCTTACTTTATAGAGTCTGTCATTGCTATCTAGAGAATTATCAGAAAAATGTAGGAAACGTAAAATCAACTGAAATCTGTTGCGGCTCATAATTGAACTCCAAAATGACATTTTGTATAGAATATCGGTACTCCAATAGTGCTCGATACTTGGAAGTGTGCAAGGCCCCATATGCAGTAACAAACCAAGAAAAATTTTCATTTCTGCACAGTCAACATCTTTCCAACGTGTTAATCGGGAATACCTTCTGATTGGCCCCCTTTTTCCTATTTCTTGATTGGCATACAAGTTAGTTTGCACAACAAGGAGATTTAAAAATTCTTCTGTGAAAAAAAGATCAACAAGATCTTGAATGGTCAAATTTTGGGAGTCGAATTGCAAGCCACAATTCTCTACAAAATCAAATTCAGGTGGATCCTGCTCAATTTGACACCAAGAAATGATTTGATCAGTACTTTTACTTTGCTGTTGAATGTTTTCTTCATTTTCTTCGGCTTCATTTTCGTCGAGTACATTTTCTTCAGGATCAGTTTCTTGTGAACTTGTATCTGACGGCTCGTAAGTTTCGTCAATATCTGAACAGTCCGCTAAAAAGTCTTCCCATTCTGATTCATCCATATTCGCATATTGTTCTAATTCTCTTTCAGTCAGATTTCGTTTTCGAGACATAGTTTATTTTGTATGTTGTCCTTGCACCTCGCATAAAACTGAATGATAGTGGTATATGCAAGATTCAACTTGCTCTGAACGCTAGTGTACAGTGAGACAATACGCAGCTACAAGAAACCGCTGGAGGGGGCGACACGAGATAACTCGTAGTTGGCCCACGAAAGTGCTACTTTTCTCACAGGGCCAACTACGATATAATACGCACGATATTATTTCGCAAAAATAAAAATCATTTTGTAACAAAAAGTATGAAAAAATCATAATTTTACGTTTTCCTATTGTATAATATAGTTTACAGACTGTGGCGTCCGGAGTCGGAATTGACAAATACCTGGTGGCAGTCAACGTGTTAAAGGATCGGTGATATGTACACAAACGTTTTAGAGTTTTTTAAAATCTATTACAATAAAGAAAAATTAAGCATACAGGATCAGTAAAAATGTC